TATGAATATATTATAAATTTATTAATTTAGTCAAAAAAGGTCAAAAATCACAGGTCTAGAGGTAAATTAAAATAAAACATTTAGTCTAAATATAAAGGTGGTAAGGTGGATATAACTACTAAAATTATTGACATTATTTATTTATTTATTTACGGTCATTGAGTTATAAATAGATTTTTTAACATTTTAATAAATTAAATAAGTTACTTGGATATTTTACCATTATTTTGATAAAAAACAATTCTAGAACTCTGTTAATAGAGGAAAAAAAGGTAAATCATATCTGGTAATGAACAGCGGAAAATTAATCTGGTAAAAAATTCTTTTTTAACAGAGAAAAAGACAACGATATGATCTTTATTATATACAAGCTAAAGAAAATCTCGACGGTATTTAAGTCAGATGTCCAAGGAGTATCATTTTTTTTTTTGCTAAAGCTGGATTATAAGAAAGCAGACAAAAGATTGTCATCATGAGAAGAGAATATGTTGAAAAAAAACTATCTTTCCCCTTCACCATGACAAGATTAATGAAAGTAAAAAGTTTCCTAAAGGTTTTTCCGATAAACTAAAGTTAGAAATAGGTAAATAAATTTGAAAATTTTTCCTTCAAAGCCTTAAGGTTAAAATAAATAAATAATTAAAAAAAATTAAAATTAAAAAATATAACATATTTCTTCAATTCCATAATTTTTTTTCATTCAATTACCAGATTTAGAGAAAAATCGTTTCTTTATCATTATTTTTACAATCCTTTGAACAAAACTATGACCATCTCCCCGGACTTACCTTAGAATTTAAAAAAAAATTGGATCAAAAAGAAAAAATTTTTTAATGAAAATTTATCTTTAAAAAAAATTGAATATAATTCGATAATATGAAATTTATAATCAAATTTTAAGTTTGAATCAAACATAAAATTTCTAAACATAATTTTTGTTTAAATTAAAACAGAAAATATGTTTGAATTAAACATAATTATCTATTCAAACAAATAATATTTTTGAATCAAAGCAGTAGATATTTTTTATATAATGGGATTAAGCTTACAAACTAATTTCAATTAAACAAAATCACTTAAAATTATTTTCTCCAACGCCTTCAGAGAAATGGAGTCATTGTTCACTAGACACCAGTGGAGAAATGAGTGTGACTGAGAGAAGAATGAAGTTATTTGTATTATCATTTGTGTTTTGACTTACAATTCATTTATTTCTCTAATTCTTTTTTGCAAATATTGCTTTAAGGAAGTAACTAAGTAAACAAGTAAGTAAGCAAGTAATTAACTGAGTAAGCAAGTAAGCAAGCAAATAATCAAGTAAATAAGCAAGTAGGCAAGCAAGTAACGAACCAAATTCATAAGTTGATTTTTAAAAATTGTAATAAAATACTTTTAAAAAAATATATTATTTTCAATTAAATTTTAAAAAATTTCTATTATTCTAAAATTGTTTATAATTGTACATATTTTTAATATTTTATGATCGTAAAAAAATTATTCAAAAATATAATTTTGAAAGACTTGCCTATAGTTATGTTTAAGAGTACAGAAATCAAAATAAGTTGCATTTATACTAAAAATGTGTTATTTTGTTGTAATATTTTGAAAAAAGTCGAAAAAATCCCAATTTTTGAAAGTAAGTCGAAAAAGTCATAATATCCGAGGCCTGGTACTAGGGTTAGTCCGGGGGAGATAGCGAGTTCAAATGTTTTACAGAATTTGTAAATAAATATCACTTATTAAGGGTTATTCTTCAACCTTTTGTGACTACTAATAAATGTAAACAACAAATTGTTAAAAAATAATAAAAATGTAAGCGTAATCCTTCTACATTTTTTTGCATGTGTCCAAAATAATTTGAGAATTTTATATTTCTTACTGATACATTGTTATTTTTTAACGGATTTTTGAATTTGAAGTTTTATTGAATAGTTCATAACCCACGCTTTGATATACACAAAAAAGAAATAGAAAAATTATTTTACTTATTTAATATTTTTATGTTTACTTTTGTCATGTATTTTTGGGTGAGATGGCCATTAATGACTTTTATGTAAAAATTTTTATGTTAATGTTAGATACTTAACAAAAATCAAAGAAAAACAAATTAAAAATGTCTGAGAACAAAATAATTCATCTAATTGACACTAGAGATGAAGATATATTTGTAGGATAAGTCGAAAGTTACAATCAAACGACATTGATTGAAGATTGGATTCAGTGCAGTATTTAAAATTTTTTGCTACATGAAAACTGCACTGAATCCCATAATAAATGTTCAAAATGTGACCAGAATAAGAGAAAAGTAATTTGAACGATTAAAAATTAAGTTTAAACTAAAAGTAAAAAATTATAAGTATTGGCCATCTCTCTTAGAATGTCCGGGAGAGATGGCCAAATGCACTTTTTACAAAATGTAAATTTCGAGATTGTTCCTATGAAAATATTTTATTTTACTTTTCGTTACTTTAAAGTTAAGTGTTCAATGTTTAATTGTCAATAAAAGTTTAGACATAAATCGCTTTTTTTTATTTTAACAGTACTTTAAAAAAACTATGGCCATCTCCCCCGGACTTACCCTATTAAAAATACTTTTTTTGATAACAAATCTTTTTAAAAATAAAAAATAAATCTGTAGTGCAAAATTTAAAAGTAGGATAAACAAATTGTTCCTATTGTGAACAATAATAACAAATATAAATATTAATAATAAATAAATATAATATATTTATATTTGTTTAAAAATTTATATTCATATTTTTAATTTATTTAATAAATATAAAATTTTTTCATAACCTTCTTTTCATTTCATCAGCTTGCGAGATCTTTAAGGCGAGACTTCGACTATATTTTTAACTACTATATCAAGAAAATGATCTAAATCACAGATGGCAACCGGAATTTTATCGGTTTCGGTTTCCTTTTTCTGTATTCTTTTAAAAAAATTCGGTTTCGGTAATTCTGTTACGGTTTTTTTTCAAAGAATTTGGGTTTCGGTTTTTAATGTGAATAATTACGGTTACGGTGTCTTGTTTTCGGTTTCTTAAAAATTTCGGTTTTTCGGTTGTTTTCCCCGGACAATATATGAATCAAAATATTTGTGTGCATTTTAATTATTTAGAATTAAATATGTGTATTAATTATTCATAATTTATTTATAAATTTGTTTTATATTTTATAAGATGGCCATAGCGTTGTTAAGGAAAAACTAAAAAATTTTTGAAAAAACGGTTTTTCCTTAACTTTTACATTATTTGACCTAATTAGCTAAAAATTGTTATACTAGTGTATTTTTACAGGCTGATCACAAATAATTAATTTAAGAAATTTTTTTTCTAATTTATGTTCAACAAATTTTTTTTAATTAATTATTTTTAATCTGCAAATTTGGTTCCTCTACTTATTATTTACTATATTAGACATATACATCAATATTTCTTTTTCATTTATTCGGTTTTGGTTGCTATCCCTGATTTTAATCTTCTATAAAATTATTTTTATAGCAATTTTTTCAGAGGAAATCAATGGTCAGAAAATAAAAATCGGCAGAAAATATTTATTAATATAAATATATTTTTATAATAGGTATTCATATCATAGAAATATGGATTTTTCTTTTTCTTAAAAATTGATAGAATTTACAATCCATCCGTAATTTTGTAGAAAATTTGTTTTTGAATCTATAAAAAAGTTGCCGAATGAAAAATTTATTTTTACCAAAATTTGAAGCTTTTTTTGAAAATCGAAAAATTGTTTTTAGGCTGAAAATGCCAAAAAATACCATTGTTTTAAAGTTTTTTTTATATTGGAAAATTCACTAGTTCATTTTTCCAACTAATTTTAAATCATAATCTTATCATAATTTTTTTATATTTTATATTTTAAAAAATAATGATTTGAAATTTGTTAGAAAAATAAAGAAGTGAATTTCCATATAAAAAAATTGAATAACAGATTTATTGTTTAGCATTTTCAACTTAAAAACTGTTTTTTTTCATAAAAATTCTTCAAAAATTTTAAAAATAATCAATTTTTCCATTCGGCAATTTTTTTGTAGATATCTACAAAAAAAATTTGTTCTACAAAATTACAGATGGATTTTAAAATCTATCAATTTTTTAGAAAAATACAAAAAATCCAAAAAGTGACAAAATATTTTCTAACCATTGATTTCCGCTAAAAAATTACTATAAAAATAATTTTATGATTTAAATCATTTCCTTCATATAGTTAAAAATGTAGTCGAAGTCTTCCCTTAAAATCATTTCCTCGAAATAGTTAAAAATATATAGTATAAGTCTCCCCTTAAAATCATTTTAGCAAAATATTACCTACAATTTTTAAAAATTAATTGATGTCGACTTTAGTATCATTGACTCAAATTTTTTTTTATCTTCTAATTTTATATCCTAAGAACATGACTATTACAGAACAAATAAGACACTCATCACTATTAAGCTAAACGTTTCAAGTTGTGTAACAAGTTTAAAAAGAAAAGAAAAAAAGCAATCAACTAAAAGAGTATATATATCCTTTAAAAGGAAAAATAAAAAAAAATGATGGATTAAAATCACTCGTCCTGAAAGGCATTATAATAGAGCGGAGAGAGAGAGAGAGAGCCAGGTGAAGCGTGACGACAAGGCCCGATGGCCTACATTTTCCACGCGACGCACGCTTTTTCATACTCTTGACTGTTCATAGTGTTCATACAATACACGTTATCCATTTCTTCTGTCACGTAAAGTGTGAGGGGTAGAAGAGGGGGAGGGGGCGACGGTTAATTCGACCGCGGTCAGTGGTCGAAGGGAAGTTGCTCTATATTTTCCGCCCACGGTGTTCCGGCAGCGTTACTTTTTACACGGTTTGACCCCACATTCATGTGATAGCCTCCCACCCCCTTAAGAAGTGGCAAAGGGGGTAAAAAGGGCTGCGGGTGGGAGTGACCGAGTCGTTGAATCCTGCGACAAGCCTTTCTCTCCACATGCTTCTTTGGCGAGCCAACGTTCGCCATTCGCGTATTTAACCGGGGAACCTTAAAAAAAATGTGCCTCGATCACGGCTAAGCGGTAGTGAATTGCATTTTTTTACTGTTATTATTATTGTTGTTGTTGTTGTTCTTGTTGTTGTCTTCCCTTCAATTTTATACAATGAAGGTACAAAGAATTTTCTTCGATTTTCAAATTGAGAAATGTCTTTTTGTTTTTTCGATCAAAAAATAAGTGTTCATCAAACATTTTTTTCGAGTGCTAAATTTATTTAATTTTAATGTTATTTATTTACAAAATTTCTATAAATAATTAATAAAGGACCTGTCCAGTTAAAATTATAAATAAATTAATTTGTTTTGCTATAAATTTTTATAAACAATTCATTTATTAATGAATGAATATAAACAATTTGTTGGTTAATTTATTAATTAATTATTATTATTATTAAATATTAATTATTATTTATTAATCGATTTATAGTTAATTAACATAATTAGATAATAATAAATTAATTAATATATATTAATAATAAAATATATTATTAAACAATTTATCAATAAACTAATTTTTAAGAACAGTTTATTATTTTGTTAATTTTTGTAAACAATTCATTGATTGATAATTTTATCTAAATAATGCGTTCGTTGATAAATTTTAATAAACAATTAATTAATTGATGAAATTATTTAAACAATTTATTAAGGGCATTTGAACTATGACATTTGCACTATGACATATTTTTGAAACACATGCTTTGCACAAATTGTAACGTCATAATGGTTCCAATCCTCTTTATTGATGAAATTATTTAAACAATTTATTAATTAATAAATGTATGTAAACAATTTATTAATTGACAAAATTTATGTGAATATATTTTATTTTCAGATAAATTATAAATAATCAATTAATAGACAAATTTGCGTAAAGAATTTAATAATTAATAAATTAATATAAACAAATAAGTCACTTACAGTAGGGGAGACTGGGGCGAAAAGTTAAATTGTGAAAACAGTTAAAATTCATTATCTTTCGATCGGAAATAGTTAGAGCATTGCAATTTTAATTACAGAAGGGTGTTATCACCCTAAATAAATGTCTGGAGTTATGTGACATTCTGCTAATTTTTGTGGTGTCCATATTCAAATTTTTTTTTCACCCTACTTTTGAAAATTTTTTCGTAAAAGAAAATATCAACTTTTAAGTATATTTTTTGCATTTATTCTCACCGCGATTTTTTTACTTCATTAGTTGGGTCCCCTGAAGACATACCTGAAGGTATTTGCTGAATATCTTTAGTCAGATTTTTTATATTTGTTGTTAAAGCCAAAAACGCACCCTGGGGCGAAAAGTTAAATATATTTGTACATGTTATTAAAATTTTTTTTTTATTTTTCGTTTTTTTGGGTTTATTTGTTTAAAAATGATTTATTTGACATTAGGCAAGTACTCTATCAAAAAACAAGACCGCTCACGTGAAAAAAACCAAAATTTTTTTTTTTTGAAATTTCAATTTATTAACTTTATAACTATTCTAAAGCTTTTGTTAAGTAAACAAAGATCTTTTATTAACTAAATTACTTGTTTACGTATACTTTAACTTATCTACTACTTAACACCTATCAGAAAATAGTTTTAGTAGGCTAAAAATAGAATTTAACTTTTCGCCCCAGCATGGGGCGAAAAGTTAAAAAAAAAAAATTTTCAAAAAAGGACAAAACATGAATTGTTTGCGAAAATATCGGAAACTTTTTTATTGAAAGTTGTAGGGAACAAGTTGCCCTACAATATTGATCTATAAATATTTGCATCTAAGCGGATTATATTGTCTAAAAAAAATCATTTATGCAAAATTTAACTTTTCGCCCCAGTCTCCCCTACCTGTCAAAATTGAGAGACCACCCATTTTCAGGGGAATGAAAACAATTTTTAAACATAAAATTTAAAACTAAAATTTTTTTCGGTATATGTTTTGAAAGATGATAAAATTTTGAAAAGAATAATATTTTACAGAAGTCATTTTGCCAGTATTTTATTAAGATATTTTTAAAAAATCGTAATTTTCAAAGTTTTACAAAAATTTGAATAACTTCTAAAATAACGAATCCTTTTTAATGGTCTTAAGCTTATTTTAAAGGTCATTTTCTACAGAATGATAATTACTTATAGGCATTAACGTGTAATTTTTTTCTTAGAAAATACAGGTTGTCAAACTTGGACAAAAAGATTTAAAACAATCTCATTAACAGAAAAATAATTTTAAAAATTCAATCATATTTTTTTATTAAATTCTCTTGAAAAATCTACACCATATCATGTTTTATATATTTTCTAGAATAGTTTTTAGTACAAAAAATTATTTCAAATTTCTTGAATTTTTTTTTTCTAACTTTGACGACCTGTATATTCTAAGAAAAAAATTACACGTTAATACCTATAAGTAATTCTTATACTGTAGAAAATGACCTTTAAAATTAATAAGCCTAAGATCATTAAAAAGGGTTAATTATTTTAGAAATTATTCAAATTTTTGTAAAACATTGAAAATGACGACTTTTCAAAATATCAGAAATAAAATACTGGCCAAATGACTTCTGAAAGAACTTGTTCTTTTCAAAATGTTATCATCTTTCAAAAAATAAAATGAAAAAAATTTTAGGTTACATAAATTTTATGTTTTAAAATGTTTTTCATTCACCTGAAAATGAGTGGCCTCTCAATTTTGACCGGTAGTGTAATTTTAAAATAATTTACTAATTAATTGATTTTGTTTATGAAACAATTTATCTGTAAATAACTTGTAAATTAATAAAAGTGTAATCAACAAAATAATTTATACAAAGAATTTGTTGTGTATTAATAATTTTCCAAAAATATCATCTTATTTGCAATATAAAGTAATAAATACTTTGTTGTCAACCATTAATATATTAATAAACCGTTTTTTTTAAATTAATAAATAATTTTATCATTAATGTAATTAATCAGTATTTCATTACTAATTAATAATTATAGTAACTAATTAATTAATTCATATTATTATTTGTTACTAATTAAATATTAGTAACTAATTGAAAATTATAATTTTATTATTATTATATTATTTACTAATCTGTCAGTAATTGATAAATAGTTGATTAATAATTAGTTATTAATAATTTAATAATTAATGTTATTTAGATGTAATTTTTGTTTTAAAGTAAATCCATGATCTTAGTAAAATAAAAATAATTTATTTATAAGCTTTCGCTCGCTGAAAGCAAGCCTCTTCAGATACATTTATTTTAATCTGTAGAAATATAAAAGAATTATTCCATGAGGATATATATCAAAAATACATGTTTTTTGAGGTTATGTGTTTTTTCAAATAAGTTATTTCATAAAAAGAAATGCATTTTATACAAAGGTTTTTAACAAATTAATAACTTACCAAGAATGTTTCTTCAATTGCATTATATGTATCTAATTTTCAAAATGTTACCAATGAAAAAGAAAGACATGTTCTTTTTTATAATTATTTTTTTTTAAAACAAAATAAATTTTATCACATAATGCAATTGAAGAAACCTTCTTGGTAAGATATTAATTAGTTAAAAATCTTTGTATAAAATGCATTTCTTTTTATGAAACTTATTTGAAAAAACACATAACCTCAAAAAAACATGTATTTTCGATATATATATCCTCATGGAATAATTCTTTTATATTTCCACAGATTAAAATAAATGTATCTGAAGAGGCTTGCTGTCAACGAGCGAAAGCTTATAAATAAATTATTTTTATTTTACTAAGATCATGGATTCACTTTAAAACAAAAATTACATCTAAACTAAAATTTCTAAATCCAAACAACCAAAATATCATAAATTTAATAATTAATGTTTAACAAATAATTAGTTATTAATCATTTAATAATTAATAATTAATAAATAATTAGTTATTAATTAAATTATTAACTTATTATTAATTAGTTGTTAATTAAATAATAATTATGTATTGAACGATTTTTAATTAGTTACTAAATTACTAGCAATTAGTTACCAAATAATAAACAATTAATTATTACAAAAATCAGTAGAATTTGTTATTTATTAGCAAAATGGTATTTAGAATCTAATATTTACTAATAAAATTCATATAAACAATTTATTATTATTTATTATTTATATTCATAATTTATTATTTTTTAATAAAAAAATTCATATGTAAAGAATAGAAAGCGCAAATGAAAAGATAAGTAATAAATTAGCAACAACTTCAATCTATTTGTAATATTTGTGAACCTATATTTGAACTAATAATTATTTGTTTATTTAAAAATAATTATAATCAATATAATTATATTAAATATTCATATTAAATAATTTTTTTAACAGAACTCATCAGTGCTTTTAAAAGTTATTAAAGTGAAAATGTGGATACGGACATTTTGACAAAAATCAACAATTCATTGAGTGATTACATTTAATTATGTATTCTTCTGTGACTCTCCATTTTATTGAATGACCCAATCAGGTGAGTTTTAAAAATTCAATATTATAATTATTATTATTAAATTTATTTTCAGTAAAAACTCAATATTATCACTATAAATATTAAATATTGTCAAAACATTAAATCAACACAATTATTGAAACAAAAAACATTTTTTTCACTTTCTTTCTTTTTCTAAATACAGTTGAACCTGTCGGAATGCAACTATACATATTTTAAATAATTTTTTTGTATTCAAAAATGTTTAACAAGAATTATTTGCACTTAATTACAGAATATTGTAAAAATATTACAAAATTAAATTATAAAACAATTTTTTAAGGATTATTTACTGCAATAAAATTTGAAAAATTAAGTTGCATACTGACAGGTTTCACTGTAGTAAGAAAATTGTATTCTTGTATTTCAAGTATTAAGTCTAATTTAATTATTTACTTATTTATTTATAAATTTGTTATATACTTATTTATTTATCTACTCAACTGCTTATTTACTTATTTATTCCCGTATTTTTTAAAATGAATTATAAATTATTCTACTTATTTGTTTATTTACTTATTTAAGGGGACACCTAAGTCATCTAAAAACAATGCAAAAAGAGTCAACTTTCGGTACACTTTTCTCAAAAACTATTATTCCAATTGCGTTCGCCCTTTTTTCATTCGATTACAAATATAATCAATTATATGAATAAGAAGTAATACGACGTTATCTTCAATAGAAACTTTTTTATGAATATTTATACCAAAAGCAAAATAAAAATCCCATTTTCTCTGATTCATTGACTCATATCTCCGTTTGTACAACTCAAAATGATGTTAAACTTCTTATTCGTATTCTTGGAACCTTACTGAACAAAGTAAAAAAAAAAAATTACAAATCGGTTTAGTAGATTCGGAGAAAAGTGTATTGAAAGTTTAAAAATTGGAAAAAAACAATTTTTACAGGAGACACGAAAAAAGAAAAAATACTAAAAACTCATGGTATTCAGAATCATGTAATCAGATTTTTATGAAATTTGGAATACTTGGGTTTTTGGGGTTTTCTATTCCTAATTGAGTCTACTTTTAGAAAATCAAATAAAAAAAATCGATTTTTTGTCATTTTTCCACTTCGGTGTCCCCTTAAATATTTACGTACTTTTTTATCTACTTACTTATTACTTTTATTTACTTACTTATTATTTTTATATTTACGTACTTTTTATTTATACTTATTTATTAATCTACTTATTTGTTTGTTTACTAATTTTTTTATTTACATAGTTTTGGTATTTAAGTATTTGTTTATTTATTTACTGACTTATTTATTTACATATTTATTTATTTACTCCTTTATTTACTATTCATATTAAAAAAAATTTATTTACTACTCACATTTAAAAAAAAAAATTCAGACCAATTTAAAAATTCTCATGAAAAAAAACTGTAAGTTTCTTTTTACAGTTGTTTTTTGTTTTCTTTTTGTAATCAACAATAATAGAAATTGAAAAAAAGTGTTAATATGGCGGCTTATTTCAAGATGTGAGAATTATATCCTTTGCGGTATTATAAATTAAGAGACTAAATGTAAATTGTGCATTTCCTGTTCGAGATGTAGTATTGCAGAGAAATCCCTAGGGAATTGAGTCACGTGACACACGCAAATATTCTCATTGTTCAATCTACGATCGCTCCACATTTTGTTTGTCATGTTTGTTGTATACTTTTCAATCAGTTATTTCACATAAAAGCGCGCGAAAGTCGTTCAAGTTTTCGCTTTTAGATTACTTTAAAAAAAAACAAAAAGGAAAGAAATAGAGTAATCACAAAATTTACTTTTTACTTACTTACTGTTAATTTTTCACTTTCCTGCACAACGTGATTGGAGAATATTTTTTAAAAAAAAAAAAAAAATTACAATTAAATTTTATTTTTATAAATTTTAATTACTATACGTAATTATTTTTTTACGATAACAATCTTACACATTTTTTAATTATAAAATTTGTTTTTTATTTTTTCTGTCTAATGTAACTAAAATATATTTTTTATTATCGATATTTTTTATGTTTTTCATAATTACGAAGAGTACTTTTTACTCATATTAATCACTTTTTTAATTATGTTTTTAACTAAATAGAAATTAAATTTTAGATTGAAATAAGAAGAAGAAATTTTATAGTAAAATTTTTTTCAATGAATATTTATTAAAAATTTTACTTATTATTATTGATTATAAAAGTTTTATGAGTTTAGAAATTTTTAGAGTTTATTTGTATTATTTGTAATAATAATAATAATAATAATAACAATATTATTATTTTTTCGAAGTTATCACTTGGTCACTATTTTTTTGCCTGACTTGGATTGGTTAATAATTATTATTAATCACATATAACAATAACAATAATTAGTATATAATAATGTATAATATAATATTATATAATAAAAAAATTAAAACTAAATGAAAATAAAATCATTGACGAATATTGTAAATTTATTTTATTGAGTTATAAAAATTATAAAATAACATCTGAGTCAGGCTCTATGAACCTCCCTGTTTCACCAACATTCATGAAAATTAAAACCAAATACATTTTCTTGTAGCTATTATTGTAAGTAATGATATCTTAAAAGGATTTAAAAAATTTTTTAAATTAAAAAAGTTAAATAAGGGGCATTCCAGGCCAAATCGGAAATAATTTTGCTTTTGCATCTCAAATTTTTTTTAAACATTTTTTTTCTTTTAGCACTCTTTGAAACGAGTTACCTTGATTTTTTTCAAATTTTTTCATAAAGCGGTTCAGGAGATACAGATTTTTAAAAAATGACGTTTTGTACGTAAATTTTTTTTTTAAATGCTTATAACTCGGTCAAAAATTGATCGAATTGGACGTTTTTATAATGAAAAGTTTTGTTTTCATATCGATCAATTTTTTTCAAAATCTTTTGTAAGAAACTACCCAATGGGAAATGCCAGTGTAATGCCGATGTTCACCACTGGCTTAGTACTCAGACGATTGTTCGGCGTAGTCTAGCCGAGCCTCGACAATTAGTGCTGGCGCAGTACAGAATTTTTGTTTCGCCAAAGCTTGGACAAGCCACGGCGGCAAGTGCTGGCTGAGTATAGAAAAATTGTTCACGACGCTCTTTGCCAACATTGCTTTTTTGACATAAACTTGAAAAAAATTATAAAAAAAGTTTATGAATGTTTATAAATATAAATTTATTGAAAAAAATTAATATTTTACTTTTCAGTTGTTCATTTTTTATTTTTATTAAATTTAATAATAACAATTTAACATAATTGTCTAATTTTGTAAATAATAAATTATTTAAACAAATTAAAATTATAAACAAAATTTAAACTTTAATCTGAATAATAATTTGGTTCCTATTAAAATACTATTATACTTCTTGCTATGAATAAAAAATTATTAAAAAATTACCACGTAATTTAAGAATTACGTAAAATGTTAAATGCAGTAAGTAAAGTAATTTAATTTAATTATTAAAAATTTATTTTAATTTATTTTATTTCAATTTATTATTTCTAATGTATCCCTATTTTTTTCTCATCTTTGACTCAATAATTGTATGTCTGAATGATACTGAGATATTAATACTTTACTGTACACATGTGTCGTTAGCATAGAGGTTAGAGCGTTAGTCTGTTAGTCTGTAGGTCGTAGGTTCGATTCCCCTCGTCAGCAATTTTGTTTATTTTAGTCTTCATCTTTAATACAATTTCTTTAAGAAGAGAAATATTTTATAAATAATAACTATTTATTAATATTATTTACCATTTTGTTGTTAAATTATTTATAATTATTAATTTACGACTCATTAATAACAATACGGCATTTATTGCGGCAATATTCTCAGCCAGCACTGGTCCAGTGCTGCGCCAGCGCTGCCTGGCAGCACTGGCAGGCAGTACTTCGCCAGCGTTAGACAGCGTTATCATCCCAGAGTTATACCAGTGCTGTCTGTCAGCGTAGCTGCCAGTACTGCCAGTGCTGGCGCAGTACTCCGCCAGTTGTAAATTTCCCATTGGGTAGCAGTAAATTAACAATTTTTAAACCTTGTCCGATTGTAAGCAAACGATGGGATCTATTTATTTTAAAATTTTTAATTTTCATATACACAGTGAAAACGGTAGGCCTAACTTGGAATTTGATTAAATCACAATTTTACACGGAAAGAAGGTTAAGTTTGGAGAGACTCAGTCTGAAAACACATTTGCTGTGAAAAATTTGTGTGATTTTGTCAAATGGCAAGTTAGTCTTTGCCACCACTGCGTATATAAAAATTAAAAATTTCAAAATAAATAGATCCCATCGTTTGCCCACGATCAGAGAAGGCTTAAAAATTGTTAATTTAGTGCTAGTTTCTTACAAAAAATTTTGAAAAAAATTGATCAATACATACATTGTTAATAATGAAATTTTATTTTAAAAATTTTAAAATCTTATCGTAAATTATTTTAAAATTTTTTAAAAATATTTTTATTAAAAACTACGCGTGAAAACAAAACTTTTCATTATAAAAACGTCAAATTTCGTCAATTTCTGACCGAATTATAAAAGCATTTAAAAAAAACTTTTTGTAAAAAACGTCATTTTTCAAAAATCTGTATCTCCTGAACCACTTTATGAAAAAAATCAAGGTAACTCATTTCAAAGAGTGCTAAAAGAAAAAAAATTTGAAATGCAAAAGCAAAATGATTTCCGACTTGGCCTGGAATGCCCCATAAACAATTTAAGTTTTATACACCATTTTTTAAAAAAATTCAGTTTTTAGAGGTTAGGTATATTAAAAAAATATTTTAAGACCGGGATTTTATTGACAAATATATGTACTTTTAAGGATATTAAATGTTAAATTGAAAAATATTATTTTTTAATGCAAAATTCGGTAATTTTTTTATAAACAAATAGAGTTATTTTAGTGTTCCAAATCGAAAAATGAAATTCTTTTTTTACATCATTAATCCTCAAATTCTTAAGAAGAAGTACAAAAAAATATTTTAGTATTCTC